GTGGCTAGACAATTTATATAGATTCCTAGCTTTTGGGTCTGGAGAGATGGTTCAGTGGTAAAAAGCCCTGGCTGATCTTGCAGAGGACCCAGGTTTGATTCTCAGCACTCAAAAAACAACCACCCTTAACTCCAGTTCCAGGGGATCCAACGCCCTCTTCTCACCTCTGAGGGCACTGCACAATACGGGTAGACTAACATATATACAGGCAATACACTCATACACACAAAAATAATAAAATATTTTTTAAAAGAGTCCTAGCTTTTTGCCAGGCGTGGTGGTGCACACCTTTGGAGGCAGAGACAGATCTCTGTGAGTTCCAGGCCAGCTGTAGTTACAAGGAGACCCTGTCTCAAAATGCCACGATTTAATTTGATTTCACCAATTTGGCAAATTTAAGCTGTTACAAATTGTTAGTTTTCTAAGTTTTTTTTTGGTAGTAATGGAAAAATTTTATTAGAGGGGCTTGAATGTCTCCAAAACAAAATTAATATTCAGAGTATAAAACTTCCTACCATCAATAGCAAATATTTCCTAGCATTGAGTAGACCCAGGCTATGTGAACCTAGCAAATTCTGATTCAGCACCAGTGAAGTGATACACCTGCTACTTTCCTACCCTGCTCCTGTGAGAATCCAATGAGATAGTATGTTTAGAAGCACCTAGAAAACTATGCCTAACAAACACAATATCAAAGTACTACTGTCCTAGTCACCTGCAAAATCAAATTACTAATCTATAAAGGAACTCATTCTATTCTAGTCCCACATCAGTCACATAATTACAACTGTATTGTTACGTGGTCTATTTTTATTACATAAATTTTGAGTCTATTCTTCAGAAGCCTATAAAATGACAGTAAAGATGAACCAGTAGAATAATAAATGGCAAAGCATGTAAAGAACTAGCCACTCAAAAATCTTTTCAGCCGTCTTTCAGTCCCTAAAGGGGAGTCACTGCTACCATGGAACTGATGTTTTACTAATGCAGCTTAAAAAAAAAAAAAAAAAATCTTCCAATAAACTGGGCATGGTGGTGCATGGCTTTAATCCCAGTACCCAGGAGACAGAGGCAGGTGGATCTCTGTGAATTCAAGGCCATCCTGGTCTACATAGCAAGTTCCAGGCCAGCTGAGGCTCCATGGATACCCTGTCTCAAAAAGAAAAAAGAAATCTTCCAATAAAAGCTATCAAACTGTACAACTTTAAAACCGTAGTTTTCAAGAGTCACTCAGTTCTAAATGTACCTGATTCAAAAAGTAAAGATACCTGGGGGCTGGAGAGCTGGTTCAGTAGTTAAGAATGCTGGCTAACAACTGTCCATAACTCCAGCTTCAGAGCAATCTGATGCCCTATTCTGACCTCCAAGAGCATTAGAGGCAATACACTCATACTCATAAAATAAAAATAATATGTATTTTTAAAAAGACACATGTGGGCTGGAGACATGGTTCAGTGATTAAGATCACTGGCTGTTCTTGCAGAGGACCCAGGTTCGAATCCCAGCACCTACATGGCAACTAACAGCCATCTATAACTCCAGTTCCAGGGGATCTGACCTGCTCTTCTGATCTCCATGGGCACTGCATGACATGGGTGCACTTACAGGCATGCAGACAATACACCCATACACAAAATAATATTTAAAAAGATACAAGCAAAAAACATATAGATGGTGTGTCCATTTCCAGAAACCATTATCTCCTATAAATGGAAACAATCTCTAGAGTCCAAGCCAAACTCCCAAACTTATGCTATTTCTAACCTTAAAAATACTAGAAAAGGGGGGGGGGGGGGACCCAAACCCCAAAAACCAGAATGAACTTAGATTACTCTATTTCAGTCACCTCTGATGAGTGGCAGTACAGAATGAGCATAGATTAAAAAAAACAAAAACAAAAAACTTCACTTCCTGGTAAAACTTCATCTGATTTGTTAAGCAATGGTAGAAAATGTTATTACATTTTTTTATGTGTTTATATATGAGTGTGCAGATGTGACAGAGTGTATGAATGTAAGCCAGAAGATACCTTGCAGGGGTCGGTTTTCCCTTCCTGGGGATTAAACTCAGGTCATCAGGCTTGGTGGTAAGTATCCTTACCTGATGAGTCATCTTGCGGTCCTTAAAAATGTTTGAAAACCAAAACTCCAATAATGAAGAATTCACTCAACTCTGTTAGGCACAGGGTGTATGGGGTGATACATGGATGAATTTGAGGCGTTTCTGAGGCCTCTAAGTATTTTAGTCCTGTAACATCTGGCTCAGGTTGAAGTGTGTGTGGATAGCTTCACATGCCTCCACTGTGCTCTGCAGCACATCTACTTTAGCCATGCAGCTGGAAAACATGCTAAGCAGTATGAACCCAAATAGCAATGCTTATGGAAATATGCTGCCTCATGAATGATATAGGATGACTTAGGAATTCAGAAGTCTTCTGATTATCTGGTTTTAATCATCAGTGAGGACTTAGTGGGATTAGTATTTTTGCAGGGTCTTCAAAGACAGGAATAAGACCATTCTGGTTTACCTTTTTGCTTTTGGACTATGTTGTATTAATGTATGATTACTACTGATACAAAAAAGGTGGTCAGGGTCAAAGATCACCATGAGCACACAGGCAGGGGAATATCTAGTACTCAGTTAAGAGCAGTGTGAAGGGACCCTTTACTTCTGTTACATCAGGTCTCAGGACATTACTGTCTCTTCCACTACAAAGTTAATTTTTGCTACAAAATAGCCACTAGTGTTTTGTCCAATATAAATGTTACAGAAGAGAAGCCAAACAGCCTCTTTAAAATGAAAAAGGAAGGCCTATGGGGAATCTTCTGGATAAGAATTTCAGTTGTGAAACACTCCTGCCCAATGCAAAGTATTTCCTTCTTTAAAAGTTACCTACTTTTCAGAGCTCAGTTGGCAGAGTGCCAGATCTCCTGGATCTCATAAACTGGTACTGAAAAGGCAGAGGGTAAAGGCAGGAGGATCAGAAGTTCAAGGCCAGCCTGAGATCCATAAGACTCTGTCTCATCAAAAAAAAAAAAAAAGTTATCTCCTTTTATCTTCTTGCATCCTTATAAATATATAAGGTACATATTTACAACTTATAGGTTTGGAACAGTACACACTAACATGGCTTCCACTATTTCTTTCAAAACAACTGCTTCTGAAATGTGGTTTTGGTTACTTGAAATTGGACTATAAAAAAAAAAAAAAAACTCTTGGAATTTCTGGTACAGGCTGAAGGTAAAGGATGAAAGACCTTTATAAGCCTATATCCTAGAACCACAAGAGAAACAAAACTGCTTCAAGTTCAATATACTTAAATGAACGATATCATCTGGAAAAAATTAAAATCCATAAACTTGGTTGTCACATGTTATTTTGTAAAGATTTCAGTTAACACCTACAGTCATAGTTAAAAGGCTCCTAAGATTGTAAATAACTTACATTTTATTATACAAGTTCTTTTTTAATTAATTAATTTTTATTTTATGTGTATGAGTGTATTGCCTGCAATGTGTATACGTGCACCCCAGTCGTGCAGTGCCGGTGGAGGACAGAAGAGGGTGTCAGATTGCCTGTAACTGGAGTTATGGGTGGTTGTTAGCTGGGATTCGAACCTGGGTCTTCTGCAAGAACAACCAGTGCTCTTAACCATTAAGCCATCTCTCCAGCCCCCATACCCCAAGTTTTAAATTAACATATAATGCTACTTTTGTTGATATAGGGTCAACCCACTTTCACCTAGCAATAAAATGGCATTAACAACACCATTACAACAAAGTAGTCTGCAAATAAAATAAACTCCAATTCAAGTAAAGGGAATCTCTCTCCCTCTTGATAACGTCTAAAGCGGGACAAATGATAATTTATTTTTCATATACAGGATACTGATACTTCCAGTTGTTACCACAAATTACCTCAAATATAATGAAGGAAAAAAAATCATTAACCATATAGGGTCTTCCAATATATCATTTTAACATGAAGATCAATCTGCCCATGTTTATTGACATAACTTGGTCAAATCTGGTAGAAATCAAGAGGAAGTGGGTGTGATAACCATGCTCCTACAAACTAAAGGATAGTGAACAAGTCATAAATAAAGGGAAGTGTATAGGAGAGATGCGGTCAAGAATCACTTCATACACTATTACGCATCTGTAGTCCTCTCAATATTCGAATTAAAGAAAAAACGATTTCCATCTGCACAGTATTTCCTTTCCAGTAGAAATGATTTCCAAGTCCCGCTGATGGATTTCATTCCACACCTCCAAGTTTGTGACATAAAACATTTTCTCCAAAGAGAAACCTATAGAAACATCTCTAACCCTAAGTCCCTTTAAAAAAAAAATGAATTAAGCATGTGTCTTCACCTCGCCTTACACTTTTCACAGTTACCTCTCCCGCGGGTGTGAAAATATCAACATCCGGTCGCCCACCCCACCCCACTGGTGCCTCCCGCGGACTGCGTTCCTCTCTCCATCCTCTTTCAGAATCATCACCTTGGAGAAGCTGGTGATTTCTTCCCGTGGCTCCCCCACCCCTATTCATGGCAGACCGCAGCATTCTCCGCACCCTTCTCCCAGGGAGGGGAAAGCCAGCACTACTCTCGGGCAGAAAACCCCCGGCCACCCGACAGCCAGACGGCGGTTTAAAACAACGGGATGGCTCCGGTCGGCGTCGAGCCGGTGGCCGGGGCTCCGCATGTAAATCCCCGGTCTTCCCGCTCCACCCTAGCCCCGCCACGGAGCGGACGGGTGACACGCAGAGGCCGGGGAGCGCGAGGCAGGATCGGCCCTAACGGAGTCCGCCGCGCGGCGTCCCCGGGGAGGACCGGGCGGCAGCCGTTGCTCCCGCGGCCCGCCCCCCCAACGCAGCGGCCCCCACGCCCGCCTCGCCCTCACACAAAAGCGCCGCGGCCGCCGCCTTCCCGCCCCCACAGCCGGCCCAGCAATCAATGAGGCGGCCGGCGCTTGCGGCCCTACGCGGGGCCGGCTCACCATCGCTGCGCTTGATTTCCACGTAAATCCCGATCTGGATCTTGCCGAAGTTGGCCGTTGCCATCACCTCATCTGGAGCAGCGGCGGCGGCCAGCGAGAGGGGGCCGGGCGGGCGGAAAAGGCGGGGAGGGGGCGGGGTAGCAGCGGTGGCCCGCTGCCGTGCCGGCCCGGGAGGCAGCGTGGACGCGAGCAGGGCCGCGGCGAGCGGC